ACCCTACCGACAACCTACTGATACCCTATGACAACCTACTGATACCCTACCGACAACCTACTGATACCCTATGACAACCTACTGATACCCTACAGTTATGGGGAAAGCTACATTATGTCATTGATTTGACATCTTTATGGCCTAATGTATGTAGATTAGCCCAGAGGATACTTCAGGGCATACTGCATGCTTTCAGTAGAGCAAAATCACTGTACTTGTATGTCAATAAATATATCTGAATTTCTTCTTTGCTTGTATTTATTATAGGAAATGTCTCCTATTATTGGCAAATCAAGTGCTTTACATGTCGGGAACTTTTTCCATCAGTCATTTCATAACAGTAAAAATGTGTCTTAATTAAAAGGTAAAAATATTAAATAATAATTATGATAATTATAAAGTATAATGTTAAAATTCCTTTTAATTTGTAAACTCATAGGAATAAGTACAATCATGTAAATACAAAGACTGATTCCATATTAAAATATCATTTGTACATAAATTGTTAATAGTGTTACTGGAAATGCTTAATAATATTAGATCTTTAAAGTTTGAGCAAAGTGTTTTCCTATTTTAGACGTGCACGTCATCCCTTTAGGAATAGGGCATTTTTTGTTTGAGTAACATTCATGGTGCATCTTATTAATGGAAAACAAAGAATGGCATCAAGTTTGAAATAGGAAAGCATTACACACATGCAAGCTTAATGGGTCTATTGATAACCCTTGATATAACCTATTAGTAAGTAATTTCTCATAGGGGTGTGTCGACAGGTAGTCGAAGGGGAACAGGCACCCCATATATTTATTCTCATCTTTCGTAATAGACTAGTACTACAAAGGACTATTGAATGTATAGCTAGTAGATTGCAAGCTTTATTCTTATAATCTCTTGAAGGATCGCAACTGTTTGGGCAACAAGACTTTGTGTCTGTTAGTCAAATATTATTAAGTAACTGGTGGTTCGTACATGGAAGGGTGCTCCAGACGACAAAATACACAGAACTTATTGTTGTCTGCTTCTTCTAGCTGTGCAATAGAAAATGGCTTGCTGCAACTCTGGCACTGTATAAAAAAAACATTCATAGAGTGACTTACTTTTGCTTTATGCTTTATCAATAGAGAAAAAAATATCCAGGCTTACAGTCAGTATTTACTGCAGGTTAGTAAAATTCTAGCTAATATACTATAAGTTTAGTAAAATTATAGAATAAGGTTAGTTAAATTCTAGCTTAATAGTATATAAATTTTATAGTCTAATATAGTTAGAATACAGTACATCACCACCCATGAAAATAACAGAGCAAAAAACATGGCTGTCATGTTGGATGACATATTAAGAGAATTAACAAAACTACTGGTTAGGGTATCTTTTTATTAATAGTTAACCTACATGGTGGCTATGAAGTCACATTCAGCTCAAGATATAGAATAAGTTATATTGGGACTGTGTTAATGTAGAAATCATGCATTTTTGATTCATTCAACCTTTTGATGTGTCTCAAGGCTTGCTTTGATTTCCCTTCCATATTTTTCCCACTTCTATTTTTTTATCTACTACATGTAGTTTGCATTTTCAAGGATTTTCAAAGTAAAGTAAATAAAAAAGTACATCGCTTCATAGGTTTTTTGTGCTTTCTCCTTTGCAATCAAATGTGAATCTCCTATAGTTTATATACAAGTGATAGTAACACCAGAATTTAATGGTAACATACTTGCACGATGCGCAGTCCAATATTTTTCCTGTGTTCAAGAACCACTGGTATATCATCACTAGACTCTATGTTCCACAGTCGAACTGTCTTATCCTAATGACAAATAAAATAAGATAACAATATCCTCACTGTTTTGCGAGGGTAACACTTACAGGTACATGTAATAACCTGTGGCTAAAAAGCTGCAGTGGCCACTAATTACATCTACTTAAATTTGCAGAGGGTGGAAAACCAGAGAACCTGGAGAAAAACCCTCAAAGCACAGGAGCTAATGAACTTGAATCAATGATTAAAACAACTCTTGGAACCACAATACAGCAGTGATAGGCAGTGTATTAGCAGCTTACTCTATTTCTGATTCTCAAGTAGCAATGTCAATTATAATAGTATAATAATTATAATAATATACATCATATTCTGACATAGCTGTAGTAGACCAGTGGCCCAAAGGTCAGTACTCCGTATTTACTATTCATTTAACAAGCTAGCAAGAAAGCAAATACTAGAATATCCCTCCAACATCTAACAATAATCATTAACTTTTGGAACATTCATGGCAAATGTCAAAAATTATTTTCCTATAAGTTTAGGTTGCCATTAAAAGACAGTCATAAAGTCTATAGCATAGCCAATCAAAATGCTAGATTGATAAGTTATATTGGACACTAGGACCCAGGACACTAACCTTTGAGCATGATAATACCCATTTCTGGTCTTGACTGATGCTGCAATCATTCACCCATCCTGAATGACCCTAAAAATACCACATTTCATTAAGAATTCCGTTACTAACAGAACATAGCTGAACCAAGATTCCATTTTTCAGTAACTTTTACTTACTTTTAATGCAAACTTTTGACATAGGTTATCCACATCCCAAATGACAAGGGTCTCGTCGTATGATGATGACACCAAAGTTTTCCCTAAAAAAATTCAATGTTTTCTTTTGAAAAGATATGTAAACATACATGTACAAGTACCATGTGAACCACACCATGGCCTTTTCTGAAAATTATTTAAAAGCAATGGATTCAACCCATCCATCCATTCAGTTAATCCTATTACTTTTTCCATCCCTCTATCCTTATATTCATTAGCTTCGTCCTATGTTTTATGTCTTACTGTATGTCTAATCTAACCACACTTACCATCCTTGCTGAATTGACAAGCACTGATAGACCCCTCATGGCCCTTTGATAGGGTCATTGGTCCCTGGGTTCTGTAGACCCCTGTGGCCACGTCCCAAAGCTGGATATTTTTGTCCCACGATCCTGTTGCCAGTAGGTGTTCATCACTTGAAAAACAGCATGATGAAATCACATTTATGTGTCCCCTGTAAAAAAAAATCAAAAACTCATTATGTGTGACATCTACATTACCCTGTGCAAGGTTGCAGTTTGTACACTTATTCATGCCAAGTTTCGATGGCACATTTTGAATGATTGTTCATTACTTACCCAAGTTGTAAAGTGATGTTACTGTTGCTGGTCTTAAATGTGCGCATATCGGTAATTTTAGTTGTCTTGTCCATTGATGTGGAGCAAATACGGTTCTCAAAAGGTGAAAAGYGACAACACGTTACTGTACTCTTGTGATCTGTATGCAAAGATGCATAAAACATGTCCTAGTTAATTGGTACACCTTAAAAGCCTAGGATTTCTTATTGAAAATGAGACATTTTACATAACAAAAAAATTATCACAAAATAAATTTAGCAATGGCAGAAATTCAACTTCAATCTTTAAGATTTCCAGATTGGGATAAAATAAAATTTAGAGAATTCCGCATGATCAGTCATATGATGTAACATGAGAGTTTCCATCCTTAATTCTTTTTTTCCTTCTGACCAACAGAGAATTTGAAACTTGATTATCTTATTTGATAATCACTCAAAATTTTTACTTTATTTTGTTAGACTTACTTATGAGTTTCTTGATCAAAGTGCCTTCCCTTGCATCCCATATACAGATAGCAAAATCCAAGTCAGTTCCAGTCACTAGGTACTTCCCATCGCTGGAAAAATGACAACTAGTGATGATTCCTTCATGAACAGCTTTCCACTAAGATTAAAGCATTCTTTAGTTCACGTATACTCCTTGACACAAAAAAAAGTATAGCATTTGCTTCCTGTTTAAGTTAAATCATTGTAATGTTGATATACCTGTCGCATTTTAGGACCCGAGTTTTGCTGTATTGTGGCCTGYATTGTGATACACTGATACACAACATGCCATATGGCCACACAGCAATACGACAATACAGCAATGCCACAATACAGAAGATGCAATGATACATAAGCAACGACACAGCAATGCAACAATACAGACGATGCAATGATACATTGATAAGCAACAACACAGCAATGCTACAATACAGAAGATGTAATGTAACGATACATAAGCAACGACACAGCAATGCCACAATACAGACGATGCAATAATACATAAGCAACGATACAGCAATGCCACGATACAGAAGATGCAACGATACATAAGCAACAACACAGCAATGCCACAATACAGAAGATGCAACGTTACCGATACAGACGACAAGCAACGACGCATCACTACGGCGATACATACATGTATGAATAACAGGGGCTTATGACTAAAGTACACTGCTATTGGCTGTTAACAGGTGCAATTTTTCACTCACTTGTAGTCAAAATGATAGTATTATATAAGTGTGTTATTTAACAATTATTTCCAGAAGGTGAAGTGATTATCAGTGGAATGTTTATCAACCTGTGAGTCTTTTAGCGGCAAGCTAAATATAATCCCTGAGCCTGAGGGGAATAATTATTAATGATTTTAGACTTGAATATCAGAGAAAAGTAACTTTTATTCTGGCAAACTTTGGAAAACCTCAGAATCACCACTTGAGCAGTTATTATCATCTCAGAATCACTTTTTGCTCAACTAATCACAGCATAAGAAACTATATTCCAGCCTAAAACTATACTAAATAATAAAGATATCTTTCCTGGTAAACCCAAGATTTCTTAAATGAGTTTTATTGTCTTAGAGTAAGTTTTCAACTTGATGATTGACTAGATATCAGAAAAATTAACATAGCTTGGAGCAACATGGTAGCTTATGGCTATTCTTATGGTTGAGAGAAATAAATACTAGATTGCCTTACCAAAATCTGTCCTGTCTCTGCCTCCCATACAATCAGATTTTTGTCCCATCCTCCTGATGCCAGCCTGGAAAAAAAATTGAAATGGGATTCACCAATGATTTATAATTATTATAGTGATCATTATTTAAATGGCATAATTGGGAACACAGAGTGTAGTATACTACATGTATTCTGTCACAGTGTGCTGTCACATAGAGTGTAGTATACAGGCCTACTTCAATAGTATAAAGGGGTGCTAATGTTCCTGGCCCTTGTCCTCTGCTGTCTCCCATAACTCTCCTCTATTTTCCATTGTGTTGGGATTGCTTGACACTACTTCACTTTATTAAGGGTTATCATAATTTCCAATAGTGGGTCAGTCCACACTGACCTAAACAAATCATCTCTTCCACCCTTTCCATGCATTTTAAACCCTGATGGTACATGGAATTTTGCAAGAAATTTTTAAATTGACATTGAGTCCAAGCTTAATACTGTATACCAAAACCAGAATGCTTCATAAATTTTCCTTTCCGAAAATTTATATATTTTTTCTATCCTTTTAGCTTGGGCATAATTTACTCCCCATTTCAGACCATACCTCTATTAACTATGTTTCGTTCAGACCATACGCTGTTTTATCGAGAATAAGATTCATGTGTCTTCTCATTCAAAACTAAAGATATGGTATTCTAGGGAATAACAGAAGGTTTGGGCAAACATTATGTTCAAGCTAAAAGGGTTTATTAATAATTAACTGTTCAAAAGAAAGTGTGCAARGGATTCTGGTAGCTGTAGTATATGACACTACTCATGTAAACAGCCTACTGAATGCAGTCCTATTCTTACGTTCTATTTTCTGAATCTGGGCAACAACTTGTTATGAAAGATGAATGGCCGTTATATGTTTTTAGCTGGTTTCCAGTCACTGTGTCCTATATAAAACGAGATGGGAAAAAGTATTTTTATTTTACATTCAATGCAAAATAGATTTTCTGATCAACATTATCCTATATACCACTTATAAAGGAAAAAATATGTTGAATCACAGCTATAGTGTACTACCAATCAAAGACATTTTTAAATGTAATTTACAAATATGTCTCAAAAATCTTATCTTTTTTAATTGTATGACTCTTGAGTCTTGTCCTACATTTGTTGCCAACCAAGCTCACCTATAACTCAGTGGACACTTCTTAAAAAAACTAATACAGGCATATCCTTCCACAGGAAACCAAGGCAGTATCAACTGTATGACTCTACTATAGGAAAGAGTTTATGCCTCTGGGGGTGGTGGTAAGTACATGTACTTCTTGAATCTAGTTAGGCTTGAGCCTGGATTACAATTACAATGCAAGCATTTATGCATAATGCCATATTCAAGCACAGATAGTACCAATACTACATACATGTACAATCATAAAACCTTCAAATTATATTGAACCCTGAAACAATCTCAGGGGTGATAAAAATCAGGGCACAGACGACTCACAGATGGAATCGTAATTTAGCGAGCCAGTTGTTGCTGAGGGAGGAAAATTGGAGAAAAACGAGTAAGACATATTCTACTCACATTAATGCCGAGTCTAAGTCTAAGAATTGACCCTGAGCTGCCAGAGGTGAGAAAACATTCGAATGGGTTAACTAATGAGTACTATGTATTTGTGCTTGTGGTGCTTGTATTGTAAAGACAACATCTCACCCATAACTTGATTGTCATATCATTGGATGACGTAACGATCTTGGAGTCATCAAAACAGAATTCACAGGAATTGACATCATCAGCATGACCTTTCATCACCTTGATCTTGACCTAAGTGGAAAATTCAAGATTATTATTCTTCAAAATTAAAATATTTGAAATATTTCAAGGAGCAGCTGACCTTGAAAAGGATTTTGAAACCCAACCTTTGCACCGTGGCAAAAACGAAAAAGTTTTGATCATTTTGCTTCAATCTAAAAATTCGATAAAATGCTAAGGTTAAGGAGACACCTTCGGGACCTTACCTGGCATTCCGTTTAATGAAAGTTGTCCACTGAATAGAGGTTTGTCTTATAGTAAATAGATTCGTTTCAGTAAACATGGGCATTACAATTTACGTTTTGAGGACTAGCTGTCCATTTAACGGGTATTTATTTGTATAAATAGGTGTTAGTTTTGAAGGTGCTCCTCTTATTGCACAAAACAAAAACAAAAGAAAAACAGCAACAAAGAAAACTTAGCTATAAAAGTTGTCCAAATTTAATAGCATTACATGAACTTACCAAATTATGTATTAACATACATAAATTCTGAGGATCTATCTATTAATTGTCGATAAAACCGCAAACATATTACTCTTAGAAAATAAGTTTGACAGTTTTATTTTTGCTCACCTGTGCGAGGGACTGATGGACCCAAGTCGCTCCGTTTGAATCGTTTTGATTGGCATTTTTAATCTTTTTATCTCTAAGACCCATGGTTATGTTATCAAAATTTAAGTTTTTCCTATTTTCCAATTTTTCTCGTTCAAACTAGAAAGAAGAAACATTTGATAAAGTTTGTTTACAACTCATCGTCAAGTCAACCTCGTCCGCCATCTTGAAACACAGCACGAAAAGGACTATGGGTAAACACCGTGAGGGACTGGTAGTCAAGGATGGAAAAATAGGAATTGGAATTTTGAAACTTGGAATTTACGAATGGATAAAAGGAATTCGGGATTGGAATACGGAATAGATGTGCGTAGCAAGATTGAAGGTAAAACAAATTGTACATATATATTTTTAGAATCATTATCATTATGTTATTACTGAATCATATTTTATGTCATGAAAAAAAAATTTATGAATGCAATCTTTATGTATAAAATATAGTTAGTACTGGTTATTTCGACTTGTGGTCACTAATGAATCATATCAGAACCTTACATCGAAAAGTCGTTGCCAGCTAATGTTTTTGCGTTTTTTTTTCAAAATAATATGTAGTTAATATAAAACACTATGACAAAAAGTGATAGTTAAAATTTTTAAATTACAAAAAAAAAAAAAAAAACAAAACAAAAAAGAAA